ATTTCCACTTAATAATCTCCATCATTTATTGGACTCTGAGAATTGGTGGCTTCCCCACATTATTTCATCCTAAATCCCAAAACAAGTGGTTCTTGATCATCTGCTTTCCTTTTAATATTTGCTAAGAGTGGGCCTTGCAGACACTGCTACCACCAGAACTCCAGCGTGTTCTTCAAAATCATGGTTGATGGAGAGCCCTTGGAGCTGTTTGCAAAGTTCCAAAGACAGCAGAAAACTCATACTCTGAGCACTGGGCAAAATAATTTGGCTTAAAGATTCCTGCTTCCATAGAATGATCCCAGGATGTAAATGGCAGGGCAGTGACTTCATAGGCCATAATGGCACTGGCAGCAAGTTCTTCTATGGGGAGAAACTTGGTGAGTATTTCACCTGAAGCAGACACATCCCAGAATCTTGTCAATGGCAAATGATGGACCCAGCACAAGTGATTCCTAGTTTTCCATCTGCACTGCTAAGACTGAGTGGTTGGATGGAAAGCACGTGGTCTTTGGCAAGGTTAAGGAGGGCATGAAAATTGCAGATGCCTTGCAGTGGGTTGGGTCCAGGGATGGAAAGACCAGCAAGAAGATAACCATTGCTCACTGTGGACAAATCTAATCAACTTGACTCGTGCTTTATTTTAACCACAGGACTATTCTTTCTTTAGTTCAGGAGAGTAGTCCTCCATCCCCATCTGCTCAAAATATCCTGCAATCTTTATGCCCTCCCTACAGTTCTTTGGGTTTCATGTTTTCCTTGTCATCTTCCAATTCTACCTGGATTGCAGACTTATGTTTATGATTATTAAGTAAACAATAAACAAACAAAAAATGGTAACAGTGATAGGGCCTGCTTCATGAGGTAAACACACATGTACACACAGACATACACACTGTATCAGGCTGGGGCATGGAACTTCATAGGGTTAACTGACCCTCTGAAGCCCATTTGTGGACTTACAACTTAACATCCTCCAATACTGCCATGTTATATTTTTTTTCAAAAAATATTATAGACACGAACTTTTATAAGACAGGCTAATATTTTCTTATTTATTCTGGTGATGCAAGACAACTAAGAATTTTAGAACAAAGTAGTTTACTACTCAGAAAATCCACAGCATTAAAAATTTTCAAGTAAAGTCAAGTTTTTTAATTTACTCACCCTGCAGGATCATTTTGCTTTAGGGGTTAAATGTGAAACTATAAACAGTCATTAAAACACAAAACAACCATAGTAATTAACCGGATATTAAGGGGAAAAATCACATCTGTTTTAGAGTTCTCGTCCATCCACAAATTCAAGAACATCAATTTCAAGAACCTGGTTTTATGGTATGCCCTGAAGCCAAGAACACCAGGTTACAATCAAGACTTCCCATAAGCAGAGTCTCACTCCAATATCTTGCCCCCAGGAATCTCTTTAATTCAAAGTCAGTACAATTGGGTTTTCTATTACCTCAAAAGGTAGTCATTACTATTTGCACATTAATAATTATGCCATTCTGATTAGCTGGATAGTTTTATGAAAAGAGGAAGAAAACAAATTTACATGCTGTTCTCTAAGTAACAAATACTAAAATTTGATGGTATCTCAATATACACGGAATGAGAACCTTGCAGAGAATCTGATTTTTCTAATTTAAAGCCTTTTGAAAATTCCACCTTGTCTGAGAGTGTACATCCTAAATAACCAATTTGTAATAACTAGCCAGAAGACAAGCTCAACTTTTCGAACTTTTCAAAAACACGTATCTCTGGGCATCAAAGAAAATTCTTTCTTCTGTTGTAAGCCTAATGAAGTGCAACTAAAAATAACAGTCATCAACTGTGGTTTTAAAGGCAATATTTCAACATAATCAAATGTGTCAAATATTCATCCTTACAGCTACTTATGCTGTGGGTTATAAGTAAGTTTCATTTCTTGGGAATGATTGAACAGAACCCACTTGGGGCTCTGCCATCTGTGAATTACTTACATGTGAACACTCTGTTTAAGAGATGGAAATTTTGATTGTTTTTTTCTTTGGATATTGAAATGAAATGCAATTGAACAGAGCTTTTTAAGCAATTATTTTTTTATACTGGTTGCTACATAGCTATATTATCACACACTCTCCACATTCATCATCACTTATTAAGTCATCGAAATCAAACATGGTACAGCTGAAGTTACGGAGAAAGCATCAAGAGAATTATGAAATCTGAGAGATGGAAAAGAATCTGCAGACTCAAGTCTGCACTCCCTGAGGTCAAGCCCTTGCCTCACAGAAACTTCTCAGCAGTGTGTTCCCATAGAAGAGTTCTGGGTGGTATGTCCCCATGGTTTCCTTGAAAGACTGTCCCTCTTACCACTGAAAAAGCAATAAAAAGACTAGACGGCTATAAGGAGGGTGCCATATAATTTATCATCCATACATGGACACCTCTGAGAGTTAGTAGACACATTATTAATAATTATACCAGAACAACAGGCATGAACTAGAAGGGCTCCAGGCAAACCTAATCATACTGGTACCCGGAAATAATTGAGACTCAAGGAAATTTTCCCAAGGGTTTCAAACCATTTCATTAATGCTAGATCCAATTTTACTTCTGTCTAGGACTGCTCTGTCCAGTGGAAACACAATGCCAACCACAGATGTGATTTTATATGCAATTTTCTAGTAGCCATGTTTTCAAAATGTAAAAAGGGATTAAAACCAATTTGGATAGTATATATTATTCAACCCAATCTACCAAGCATAGTATCATTATAACATGTAAGATCTTCTACTTTTTTTTTCATATTTCAATCCTTGAAATCCACTGTGAAATCTAAAAGTAGATACACCTGAATGTCTTCATTTAACACCTTTGCCCACCCTTTACACATTAGGGCAATTAAACTGTCTCTTGCCCTTGTGAACCAGAACTTGGAGATGACAAATATTTACCTGGTAGATTCCTTTAGGTAAGAGAGAGAATGGCTCAATTAGAAAATTTGATTATTGCTGAGAACTTTTAGGACTTTTTCCAGACTAATATGTATCTTGAATTCCTAAATCTAACATACATACACTGAGCACCTTAGATATATTTGGCACTATAGAAAGATAAATAAATGTTACCTTGGAATGTTAATGTTTAAAGTCAGAATGGATTTTATTTTACAACTGAAGCAAGAGAAGCCAATCTGTGTTAGTATTCTGTGGCAAGGCAAGGACCAAACTATGTTCTTGTGTCTCAGCTCTCTACCTCATTGTCCATAGAAAATACTGACAGGAAAAGAGAACATAGGTATTTCCTTTTTACTGCTGTACAAAGGGATATAGTCCACATTTGGTAACTTGCGTAAGGTTCGGTAAAAAGATTTACAGAGTCAGCATTTATTCTTGAGTTAGAATTTGTCTCTTTGATAGTAATATACAGTTCCCTCCTAAATGCCCCAACTTGGAACTCATCAATTTTAGTAAGGATACAAAATCTATTAGAAAGATAATAGACCTCCCTTCCTCTAGGGAAAGCAATATTGTATTTACAATTGGTCTAAAGACAGCTTGAGTGATAGAAACATAGTACTAACTGGGTAGATTTTCTGCATATAAATGATAAATAGCTATACATTAAACAAACATACTCTCATTTCAGGGTATATTTACATTATTGTAGAAATAATCATCAAAATGTACTTTTTCTTTTTAAGTAATTCTGCTTTCATTATGTCTCTTCCTCTAAAACACAATATATAGGCTCTACATGGTCTCAATCAATTTGCATTAAACACACACATCAAATCACACAGTAGTTCTATCTGTATTTATCATTAAAGTAGAACACATATACATTATTTTTTATTAAAGCAATGTTTGATTGAATATGTTTGCTTAAAATGATGGGGAGGGAGTGAGAAAGTATTACATCAAAAATACTTTCAAGACACATGCCTCTTTGTTTACAAAAAGATATATGTCAAAAATTTGTCACAATCTATTAGTAAATACACAAAGACTTTGTATACTAACTCCTACCTCTACACATCGGAGATAGTTCTTAATAAGAATAATTTATACCAAACTGGGAGAATCCATTTAGCACATTCAGAATCCCTATATGATATGCCTATAAAATGTTGCATTTTTTCCCTCAAGCAGTTATAGACAATGAGACTAAAAATGAGAAAAAATCCTTGTTTCAGGAAAAAATTTTAATATGGTTGTATTATTGAAGTTCACCTATTGCAACATTAAATCGTTATTATCATTTCTTCAGGAGACTATTCTCTGCTTAACCTATCAGTTATATGTATAGCAGGTATATCTATTTAAAATTACTTTTGATGTATAACCTGATTTTTTTTTTCAGTTGAATGTTGGTCTCTAGAAACCCAATACTGCACCACATATCAATAGCAATGGTATTTTGAAATTATGCTGCTATTCATCATGGTATGATTCATAAAACATTGTATTAAAACACCAGATTAAATATATATACTCTCATTTTAGGGTGCATTTACATTGTAGAAATAATCAGCAAATTGTAGTTTTATATACATACACATAAGCACACACATATCTTATATCCTTGGTCATTATGAAGCAGTAAGAGGAAGAAAATCTAACAGTATAAACATATAGTGCACTGGTTAAGACTGTGGATTTTGGAGCCAGACCAAATTTCACCAGAGTTAAAGTCTAAGCTGTGACCTTGGACAAATCACCAAAATTCCTCTGCCTCAATTTCATTATCAGTAAAATGGAGACAAAAAACTTCCTATTACCTTAATGTGGAAATTTAAATGACTTAAAGTGGTGTTTGGCTAATAATTAGTGCAATGTAAGTAAGAACTATCACTACAACTATATACTAGTAATTGCTCATACTAGCTATTATTATAATTAATACTATATAGCCTATCAAAAGATCTTTATCAACTTACTGAACACTACAAAGTCCCAGTTAGTCTATGGGTAAGGCGCTTTGATCTTTCATTAGAAATGCAAACAGCAGGGTACCTACTGGAATAACAGGTTTCAGACCCTGGCCACTGGGGTGTGAAGTGCTTGACTGGGCATCAGCAGGCGGCCTGGGGCTGGGTCACTGCTTCGCCTCACCAGCAGAGGAGTGCCTGTTGGACAAAATAAGAGGTGAGAGGTCAAGAGAACCCTGGGGGCAAGAGAGTGCATGGTACAATGCAATTTAATTAAAAGGGTTTACAACATGCTTTTATGTAAAAATTTCTATTTCTAAGGATGCTAGTAAATTAATCCATTTAAGGATCTTTTGTCATCTATTTATAGAAAGACACATGGAAAAATCTTTCAACTCTTATCATCCTCCACTTGCATTACAAAACAAGTAATTGTACTTAGGGGTAAGCTCTTAGGCAATTCAAAAGTTGACACTGTGCAGCCTAAAAATGACCTAGAAAATATATTTGATCATTAAAAGGAATGATAACCTCTCAGATAAATGAAGAGGTGCACAGTTAGTTAACTCTCCTATTCAGTAGAGCTAGAAGTATAGTTATTAATGTGCCATTTGGCCCTCTCCAAATCTTTTGAATGATGATATATGCTGAAAGAAAATATTTGTGGGGGTTATAGCATCAAAAGTCTATTAAGTACATGAAAATATTGGTTCCTTTCTTTTCCTTTTCTCCTAAAGTAGATAAAACTGATAAGGAAAATAAGTTTGTTCTTCTAAAAATATAGCCAGATTTCTTTTTAATTTAATGAAAGCTTCCACTATTAAATATTTGACTCAGTTATTAAATTCTTAAAAAAAAAAAAGGATCATACTATTAAAAAGTTCAAATGAAATTCAACCCTAGCAGAGCTGGCAGCTTACTATTCTGACTGCAATTAGGCCTAAAATAATTTGCTTCATACAAAAATTGGCCACTATAGAAGAAAATCTCCAATCCATTTGTGGTTTAAAAATCACTCTCATATAAAAATTAACTTTCTTTATCTGCATGCTTTTGGGAAAAAAGTGGAAAACAGTAGAAATGCAATTTTCCATTTATCAATATTCTGAAAATAATTCCCCAAATCTCTCAAGCTATTGCAGTTAAATTTTTTTTCTTACCTCATTTTACAGGATACAGTTATAAAAAATAAATCCATTTTGATGTTATTTACAAACCTGATTTTTATATATGCCCTACATTTTTATTGTATATACAAAATGTAAAATTGCTAAAACTTTTAATCCTTGTTCAGATAGAAGTTGGTTTTTGAAAAATAACTTCTTTTGTAATAAAAAATTAACAAGCTATTGAGGACAAAATACTATGCCAAAAGATATTATAAAGTCCAATTTTTATTAATAAACACTTTGCTAAATTATTCCCTGCTTCCTCCAACTCCTTTAAAAAAAGAAAATCTTAAGTAAATAGCATCACTAGCTGCATAACTGGCAATTATTCTCTAAAATATTTTTGAAAAGGAAGTGTGGAAGTGAGCCTCCCTGGTGGCACAAGGGATTGAGACACAACCTATGAAGCTATTTGCTGCCACTGCAGCATGAGTTCAATCCCTGGCCAGGGTAGCTACCCACATGGCAAAGCAGACCTCTCCAATCTCGCCTGCTGCTCCCCTCAGCAGTGTATTTCAGTCAATCTGTCTGTTCTGTTCCCCACTCTGTCTCTGGTGAAACCTCTCACTACCCACATTTCTGGCCTGTACCCCAGTTCTTGTATGAATAAATATTTTTTTATTAAAAAAAAGGGTCAAAGCAAGAGAAAGTGCCATAGGATCCAGACCTCAGAGTCCCACTCTTACAACAATATTTTTTCCCTTTTTCAGGTGCTCTAAAGACTAATTGCCTCTCTGGTGAAGTCCCTGAATTACCATTAACATGAAAGGAACAAGTCAGTATATATGTGATATTCTCAGCTGCAACCCATTCTCTTTAAATTAAGAAGAGAATGGGACAAACTCTACGATATTCTGGTTTGTGTCCAAGTTTTTAACCCAAATCTATACACTGCATTTCAATAATCTCAAATGAAGGGGGAAAAAAAAACCCAGTAAAATCAGAAAAATGTACATCATGGTGAAAAAATAAGTTTAGTTAGTGGTACAGAAATGGAATGATTAACAATTTTAGTTGTACTGTTTTTTCAATTAAGTCATATATGTGTACGAATAAATATGTGCACATATATATGAATATATACTGTGTGTGACAGAGTATGTAAGAGGAAAATGTTATTTCTCTTGTGTAATAAAAATATTTTTCTTGAAGAAGTGACACAAGATTGTTCTCCTTCAACTTTAAGCACAAGATTATGATTCCTCTTTGTCATCCATAGCTGTTGTTTTAATAGCAAAATGCTGAACTAAGAAATGACTTTATGTTAGCATGTATTGACGCTTGTGGATTGCACCTATACCCCAAAGTATTATGGTGTACCTCTCAAAGAAGACCCCATTCTGTTTTATATCAGTGTGGCAAATATTTGGAATATTAAAAAATAAAAATTTAAGATGGTTAGATCATTCTTAAATATATTCTCAACCTATCAGGAATAAATTTTGTTCTCTACTTTTGTACATTCCACATTTGAATGTCTCCTGTTGAGTCACCTTCTAATTTTTCTTTGGAAGTCTTCACATGTTAATAACAAGTATAAATCATTTCATATTGGAATTAATAATGAGCATCTTTAAATAAGAACTGCTATCTCAGAGAGTTTTAAACAACTCTTCCCTTGGCAATTTAAATGTATTTAGAATGTATTTTTTATTTTAATTTCCAAGACTCCTCTGAAGGTAATTGTCAGAAGAGACTGAGTTATAACTTCAATACAAGATATGTGCTAGAGTATAACAAAGGCAAGTGATTAGAAGTACTGAAGATTATTTGGGTAAAATCTTGGATAGATGCAGGAAAGTAGAAGGCATACCTCACAAGCAAGGCTTAAGGAAATGAGAGGGCTACAACTGCATGTGGCTTTATGGAAGCTACTTTGTGGGGTGTGGGGAGAGTAAAGCATAACCTCTGCAGTGATGGAGTTTATAATCTAACAGTAAAGATTAACAACTATCATGTGTTGATGCAATAGAGAGGATCATGGGTTTTGGAGTCAAATAGACTAAGTGACAATGAATTGCTAAGTGACAAAGTCCCATCATTTAAAACCTGGTGGTAACAGGCAGAAATAAAGTCATGTATTGGACAGGGCGTTGTCCAATATCTAATTGTTAGGCAGGAAATCCCCCTGCATCCAGTAAAAGGAGGTAATGGCACTTGCTATTGTTATTCCAGAGTTTCTTATCTGCTCAAAAAACAAAACACTGAAAGCCAAGTTAATTTTCCTGGTACATGTCAATTAAAATATTAAAACATAGTTTGATGCAAAACCAGGTATAGCCTTATTATAGCAATCAAAGTTTTTAAGAAAAAAAATATGATGAGCTGGAAAGGAGTATAAAAATGGAAGAAAATACCATTCATTGTTATTTTTAAGCTAGTTTAGAAAAGATCTACTATAACACTTTAGGGGCAAAAACTCTTGGTTCAGCTCAAGGAATAGCTATATTACTTGGAATAATAGTCCCAAAAAAGAATTGTTACACAGCTAAGTATACAAAGGGTGGGTAACATAAATGAAGGTAAGTAGTCACTTCGCTTACTCTAGACCCATCTTGGTAGGGAAGGAGAGGTGGCGACAAGGAACACTTCAGTATTCAGTTTTCAGGGCAAAGTGGGGACATATACAGATTACTGGTGAGATCATATCAATGATCATGCACAATGCCCCTGGATCAAGTCCATTTTATTTACTAGATTCACAGAAACTTAGTAGAAGCCAAAGAAAAGCAGTGTCTTTGAAAGCAGAAGTGTTTCTGATCAGCTGTGTACCTGCTGCTGAGTTTGTTCTTGTAAGATAAATCAGGCCATAGCAGGTTAGCACTACCCATGCTTATGCAGGGCTTATGTTACCCTCAGGAAAATCTTTCACAGACACTCACTGTTTTTCCCTCTAAGATGATTGGACTCAAGGTTCTCCCATGTCATGACCAACTTACACTAGATTCAGTTCCCAGGTGTCTATGAATGATGGCAAATCTTACAATTCTCAAGCATTTACCACTTTAATGATATTAAAACTAAATTCAAAAGGGCACATCTATGTGTCCAGTCACCCCTTAAATGCAACTAAGGGGGCCCAAAGGAAGGTCACCTAATCCAGTTTGGGGAAAATAATTTTGAAAGAGGCAGCGACTAATTAAAAGGAGCAGGGATTTATTTAAAGACGGTTGATGAGGGTCTCTCCTGGTGGCGCAGGTGGTTGAGCACAGCACTGTGAAGCTGTCCACTGCCTCTGCTGCACTGGTTCGATCCCGGCCAGCTGGCGAGAATCCCACATGGCAGAGCAGACCTCTCCTGTCTTGCCCACTGCTCCCCTCAGCAGTGTATTTCAGTCAGTCTGCCTGTTCTGTTCCCCACTCTGTCTCTGGTGAATCCTCTCACCCTCTCGCACATCTGGCCTGTACCCCGCTTCTTGTATAAATAAATAAATGTTAAAAAAAAAGATGGTTAATGATTCCCCTGGGCAAAATCAAAGGCCAGCTTATCATCAATATTAGTGCTATTTTATCCGAGGGTGATTGACACCTGGAGAGATCAGGTGGGGAGGTGGAGGATCACAGCTGAAATGCTGTCAAGGTATTTTATAAAAATTTAGAAGGTCTCAATTGCAGAGAATGTGGAAGGGCAACATAAAGGAAGTAAAATGGACTCAGCAGTCACAGGCAAAAATGGAGTGGTAAACTAGAGGAGGACATGGGGGGATTACACAAAGCAAGAGAGAAGGAGCATAAGCAGGAGCTTAAAATAGTCGTCACTTTTCTTGATTGCAGAAGAACAATAAAAAGGGAAGTCTTAGCAACTATCATGATTTGTTTCAGAAAAAAACATGACTCTTGACTGAAAGTGAGAATGATTTGCTTTCAATCTAAGGTGGTTGATATGCATGAGAAGTCAAAGATAAGACTTTCAGCTGGGTGTTCATAAAGATGAGGTTGAAGTTGATACTGCAAAAAATATTTTCTTTAGCATGAGTGAAGAAACACAAGCATGAGTTAAACACCAGGGAGGATAAAGAGGGAGAATCCA